ACGTTGTGACCTTCCCTCATCAAAGGGAAGGATTAAAAGAACTCAACCATGAGGGCCAGCGACCATTGCCTTACTAGACTCTGGTGTGGTCATGTGTTCTTGGAGTTATGGCCGCCATCATGTTTTCTGGCTTTGGCCCCCTCCCCTACCTTGGGAGGTGAATCTCTTCTTTCTCTCTAACTTACTTTCTTAATTAACTAAACTTTCTAATCTTACTACTGTGCAATTCTTTGCATCTTTCTCGTGGCATTGGATTGCACACCAGACACCCACATCCCCAGTAGGTCTGACCTAATATTCTGGAGGCCCCACTGGGAGTGTGACCTAACAGTCATTGTACAAACACCAAAGAGTGACTTATACAAACCCAGACAGTACAGCCTACCCCTTCCTGGGCTATGGTCTAGCCTATTGCTCCTAGGCTACAAATCTGTACAGCATGTGACTGTACTGAATACTGTAGAAACCGTACGAAACACAACTTGTTACCCGGCTTCATAGCCCAATCTGGACACAGCATGAAGACCCTTGCCCAAGACCAGCCTGGAAACATCCACCCCAGTTGTGGGGCAATGCCTGGGACTCAAGTTCCAGAAGGAGCCAGGTTCTATCCAAAATTCCTGTCCAGAATTGGTAAACAGCGAGCTACGATTACACACATGCTAAGCTGCTCTACTTCAATGTGCCACAAAAAAGCAGGCATGCTATGCAGCTGAATAACCTACTCAATTTAGTGGAAAAAATTCAACCCTTCTTGGGAACAGAGGCAAATAAAATGTTTTTAACAGCTTCAGCAATAAAAAACAATTATTTACCTGACTAAACTCCTTTGGAAAATATTTACCAATTAAAATAGCACTGAATTGACATAAAAGAACACTTTACATGAAGCATCTCAGTCGGACTTTTAACTAACTCTGATGGGGCATTCCCTTTCAGGAATTGGGGAAGGACAGCCTTAGGGAGCCATCGGTGTGCTCCCAGCATGCTGACAGACCCGATATCAACCAGTCAGGAGGACTTCTGAAGGGCAGCTAAGTCAGGGTGAGACTGCTGCCAGAAACCAGCATGAGGGCACGGCACAACCAGGCTACAGACAGGGATGTTATGGACACGAAGATGAGGCTGTCCCATCAGCCATGCCCACACCATGTTTGTTGGCTAACAGCTGTATTCCCAAAGATACAACCCAGTAGCCGACTGTGCCCTCAGCACAGGGGCTGCACCAATGTCTTGGACAAGAGGATTTGAGCTACCCTGGAGTCCAGGAGGACACAAAGAAATCAGGACACTGGGTCCTCATGAGTCAACAGGCTCCTTATTCCTACACTTCCAACTACAAGTATTTATCCCAAATTATTCTGCAAAGTGAGCATCACTTGTGTTAGGTCAAACTTGTCCTAAAAATTACATGGTTTTGTTTTAAATCCATTTGGTCGACACCTTTGTGACAAGCTCTGGACTACACCTACATGGTCCTGCATGGTCCTCCATGGCCATTAATCACATGAAGTTAAGCAAGTTCAGATAAAATAAGAGCTTCAAATGTAGTTCCTTAGTTACACAAGTCCCATTTCAAGTACTCAGTAGACACATGTGGCTAGTGACTACCATTCTGGACAGCAGAGAACATTTCCATCATTACAGAAAGTTTTTTTGGCTAGCACTGGACTGGACAGTCGTTGTACATACAGGTGAGCACAAGAGGCATGTCCTCATAAAGTCCACAGTTTGGGAAAAACAGCCTTTTATCAAAGAGCAGCATCAACAGAATTATCAATGGTAAGTCCTAGAAAGGGCACTGGAACCAATGTGAACCAAGAGAGTGGAGGTGGGGAAGGCCTTGCGATGGCAAATGCTGGAAGAGAAGGGCCTCTATTCCTGTCTATTCAGAGAGGAGTTCTAACTAGAAGTCCAGAGAGCAGGCTCACATGATAGAAACTGGCCTGGAGTTTGGAAACACAGTCCCTCTGGCAACCTGCAGCAGCTTGCGGTCACTAGTTAAGTATCTCTGGTCATTTTAGTTTGGGCCAATTCACATCATATGCTGACATGAAAATAGTAACTCAGTATAGCCAGGACATCATGGGAGACAGCATGGACTTGTCATGGCTGTGAAATGCCCTGAAACAGGGATGACACAAGCATCTCGTAGGTCCTCACCGTGTTTCAGGCTGCTCAGAAACGATGGAAGCAACACTGGCTAAGTCTGAATGTCACAGAGTCAAGGGCCTTGATGTCTTTGAGAGTGGTGCTGTTTAGTGCGGATCACAGAGAAGGCGAGATTAGTTTGACTGACAGTCACAGAGAGTCACCGTGGCTATCTAAGCCTGAAAAGTAGTGTTTAGCTTGCCTTTTCTTGGTCTAAATTTTTTAGCAAGCCTCAAGAAAACTCTTGGTTGATGAAATTCACCTGAATGCCTGGTGAGGAAGCCTTCAAAGTGGCCTGAAGACTGTGCATGAGGTTCTGGAAAGGAGGGGCTGAACTCATTTACCTTCTCATTAAGACTCATGGGATAACCATAAGGAGATAAATTCTGCCAACTACCTGAGAGAGCTTGGAAGTGAATCTTTCCCCAGTGGATCTGATTAGAACACAGCCTTGGCCAATACCTAGATTGTCGCCTGGTAAGATCCTGCAGCAGAGAACCCAGCCAAACTGTGCCCAGACTTCTGACCAACAGAAACTGTGAGATAACAAATGGGCTTTGTTTAAAAAAGAAAGAAAGAAAAAAAAAAGACCGAGGGAAGTCTGCAGTTTCCCATGTGCTTCTTTAGCCATCAATTGACTGGCAGATTCTCTAAGGGAGAGGATACTGAAATACAGGATCTGTCATCAAAAGGAAAAAGAAGCTCATACAGAGCCTTCAAAAGTCGGCCCTTCTCTGAACTTTTTTCCAGAAAAAAAATCTTCTTGACTAATAAAGGTTAGAAATTCTCATTTGAGCTAAGTAAGTGTGTGGTGTTACTACCACTAGCCCTGACTTTCGTCGTTGTCATGAGTACCCTGCACTGTGTGTTCTGATATGTCAGCCATTCTAGACTGCTCTGTAACAGAGCGCTGAGTGTCCTGAAATGACCTGGGATGCTTGTTAAAAAACAGAGTCCTGGACTCTCCCTAGATCTAGCGAATCAGGATATCTAGGGACAAGTGCCACAGAGATTCTTTTCAAATATACTTGGGCAACATTGCTTTATCTCATTTAGTCTTCCTCAGAATCCTGGAAGGCGGGTACTACTGACCTCACTGGACAAGGAAGCAAAGGTAACTTGTCCAAAGTTGCTAAAGTAGGCAATGAAAGGACAGGGATTTGGTTTCTGGCTATCAAGAAAGTCATGCCCTGATCTACTCGATCTACTCAACTACACTGTTGCAGCACACAATATAGAATTTGATGAAAATTTTTCTTTTACCCAACTATAGAGGCTACCATGCACCATTTAAAAGGGTGAGGGAAGGACTCTATAACAAATTAATGGCGATACTTAAATCCACACACTTTAGCCATAGCATAATCCAACCCTGCTGGAGTCCTGTGCTTTCTCTGCAACAGTAGCCATGTCCAGTTCCTCCCCTAGCCATGCAGTGAGGATGGGCAAACAGCTGGGGGGCGGGAGGGTGAAGCTTTGAAGGGCAGGCCTGCACTCCCTCTTCCAGAAGCATCTCTAAGGCCTTTCTTAAGCATGAGCTAGCTAATAACCTCTCCACACTACCATTTGGCCTGTTACAAGATAATTTAGAAGCATCTGAAAACAAATCTGCCTGTGAGAAATGGAAATCATATATACCCAGAACACATATACACACCTAGAACACAACATGGAAGTGCACAGTAGACACTCTTAGTGTCCTCTCACCTCGGCCGCTCAAAGTGCTGGGATTATAAGTGTAGTGAGTCACTGCGCCTGGCCTTTTTTTTTTTTTAACATAAAAAACTACTTTTTATTAGGAAAAAGACTCCCCAACCACCAAACTCAAATAAGTAATGCCTTGTCTGTAGTTTTTTAATCTGTATCTGGTTAAGCCTAACTGGTTAGCCAAAACTGCTATAAATGAAGATATCACTCTTCATTTGTTGTTTGCTAGAAATTTAAGGAAAAGAGTCTAAGAACTTCTAGTTTCTTCTGGACAGACTCCACAGATTCAGAAATATAAAAGTGACAAGTCACAGCCTCCATTTGACTGAGGATATGAACGAGTATGTTTCCAAGTCCTTGATGAACTAAACCAACAATGCAAAGTGAAATCCTCCATTTGTCTTTTATTTTAGATTCAGTGGTTCATGTGCAGATTTGTTACATGGCTATTTTGCGCCACGGTGAGGTTTGGGCTTCTAATGAACTTGTCATGCAAATAGTGAACATGTATCCAATAGGTGGTTTTTCAAACCTTGCCCCATTCCTTCCCCTCTTTACCTTAGATTTCTAATACTAAATCCAGTCAAATGGAAAATTTCAAAGCAGCATATTAGTCTCACAAATAACCAATTCAAATCTTCACTGTGCTTGTCTCAGGCTTCCCTCTCACTATCAAGACCAATGGAAATGACTTTAGAGCCTGCATTCAGTACTTTCTTAAGTAGGGGCCACAAAGTCTGGGTTCTGCCCTCATTCTACAGGGCAAGGCAAACCACTGCCTTCCATGCTGAGCCACCTGTGATTCCTGCCTTGTCCACCTGACATGAGTCATAGGAAGATCAGGGTGGTTAGGATGTGTGAAGACTCAGAAAACCAGAGAGTAGTACCTTATTTAGGTATTTTTATCTACCATTCATCAGATGGATAGCAACTGCTAGCCTAATTCAAAATAACTTCAATTTTATGCCTCTAGCAAAGTTTTACTACTCATTTGGAAAGTTTAAGCAGCTCTAAATTTCAAATGCCTTGTGATAAAAAAAGGACTACATGCATCACAAGTCATTCCTAAGACAATTAGGCCAAAACAGGGCTAAAACATCAAGCGAGCTGCCCTGGACTACAAGCAGTGGCATTATAATTACCTGTTTCTCCCCACAATGTGTCGGTGCCATTGACTTCTATTTCATGTTCCTTCTCCATCCCCAGCAAGCACTGGACCACCTGTCAGAAGTGGCAAGGTGATTTAATGAGTTCTCATAGGAAGAGTCGCTTATGATAGCCCATGTATCAAAGAAGACAGTGTGTTGTTTTTTAACCATTATTATCTCATGCTGCACAAGGAGAGAAAATATAATGAAAACCATTTCAAGCATAATTCATATGCTATTCACATTTTCACTTGGAGAAAAATTTTAAAAAAGAATCTCAGTGAATTTCAGCAACATTGTTCAGGATTACTAGGTACTCAGAATTCTAATGAATTCCAACATAACCCAAATATGCCAGCCTAATCAACAAAGGACATGGCAGATCACACAAAGTGCAGTTTCTGCATAAATCACCAGAAGATGGTGAATCCATTTTTCACAAAGAACAAAAACAAGGCAATATATACCTTTTTCAATAAGTTGTTTTTTTTTTTTAAACAAAGTATTGTCCAAATAGTTCTTCTACCGGCAGCGTTATTCTATTCCCTGACTCTTCCTGTCAAAGAGTAGGTCAGGTCACAGGTGTGGAGGCAGGAATATTTGCTCTCAGAGAGACAGAAGCATCTATGTCCTAGACCTTAGCCAGCATTCACCCCGGCAACCACAGTGAGGGACAGGAGAACAAGACAGAGCCGTCTTCCAGTCTCCCAAACCATAGGCTTTGTGGTGGGCTGAATAATGACCCCTAAAGATGTCCACATCTCATTCCTCAGAACCTGTGATGGGGTGATTACCCCAAATTATCAAGGTCTATATCTGATAGACAGCTGATCCAATCACAACTGTCCTTATAAAAGGGACAGGGGGAATCTGGGTAGGAGGAAGGAGGAGATGGGATGTCAGAAGCTAAGGTTAAAGTCATGCACATTGAAGATGGTGGAAGAGACCACGAGTTAAGGAATGCAGGTGGCCTCAAGCTAGAAACAGCAAGGAAACATGTTCTCTCCTAGAGCCTTCAGAAGGAACACTGGTCTTCTGATACCTTAATTTTAGACTTTCAACCTCCAGAACTGTAAGAGTAAGTGTGTGTTGCTTTACGTGTGTATGTGTTTGTTACAACAGCATTAGGAAACTAATAAACTCTTAAGTCTTTTGGTGAATGAATCCTGTTTTTTTCTGATGGATGTTGAAGTTGTTTCTGCATTCCTCCCAGTCAGCTTTAAAACAGGGGTGAACGTGAATTGCAATGAAGGTCATATATACACGTAGCACTCACGGTCCTCCCAATGATGACTTTTCACATTCTGGACCCACTGAGATTTAGGGAAAAGTTGAAAAAGGGAAAACATTTACACTTTCAGACCTGTGTATTTAGCACTCTCTCTGTGTATATATGTGTGTTTCTGATGTGTTAAATGCCAAAAATTAGCCAGTCAGCACATTCCATACTTGTGTATCTGCCCTCGTGTCTTAAATGCCAGAAGTCAGCCAGGCAGCTCTGCACTTAACTTTACTTTAAGCCATTTTAGGGAAAGAATCTTATCAAACACTGGCACCTCTAATTGCCTGAAGATAATTCAGAGTGAGAAATACACAGAAAAGAGCAAGTGAAAATGTTACTGAATTCACAGATAAGCCAAGACACACAGGTCAGGAGATAACAAATATTCAAACTGAGGAATACCAACACCTGCCAGAAATAAACGCTCTATTTACCTACTGCATGGAGTTTTCCTTTAGTGCAGGAGCTGCAAATGACGAGCATCCTACATGATACCAAAGCATTAGGGCTCTACTCTACAAAATCCTAAAATATTCAAGCACAATTTTAGAACCAGGATCCTATGTGACTATTTTCTTAAAAGATCACAAGAACAGAAGAATGACTCAAAAGGGAAAAAAGGTAAAGCCGCAGGGCTAGAGGGTAGAGTGGGCAGGGAAGGAAGAGACAATCAAGGAAGGGAAGAGGGCGAATGTCATCAAAAGGCTCCACTGCAGGAGCCCCAGGTCTCTCGTGGAAGGACAAACCTTCCTGTTCCCATCACATATGCTCAGGACCACGGGCTGTCCTTTGGGTTTTCACCCACAGGAAGGCTGTGATGCCAACAGAAGACCTTCTACTGCAAGTGATCAAAGCCAGCTACCAGTTCTCGAAATCCTCATCTTATTTCATTCCTTCAGCGTGTCATAGGTTCTTAACTCAGAAGGTGGAGATTGGCAAAAAAGCAATGGACTCCCTGGGCTTCTAGCTTCCCGGAAGGAAGCCCTGGTCCACTCACCGAGCTGTGGCCCATGCTGGCGGCCGCTGTCAGTGCCTGCTGCAGGGCATGACTCTTCCTTGGTGCGCCAGGTTGGGGAGGGCCCGCTGACCACTCACAGGTCAGCAGGTACTGGAGAATGTCCCCATGGCCCCGCAGGGCACTGTGGACAAGTGCGCACTGGCCCTTCTTATCCAAGTGGTCCACCTGGGGGGCAGAAGCAAGGAAAGGGCACAACTGAGCATTGTTTTTTCTGAGAATGTGAATATACCACTAACATTGTGCAAACCCCACTTTCCTGCAAACAGACATGGGGTCATGCTCCAGCTCATCCCTCTGAAGGGCACTGGACCTTCATCTGGACTAGTTCATGGTAATGAATGTACCATTCCAGGCCTCGAGTTTCCTTTGCAGGACTACAGGTCACAAATCGTTCTTCTCACCTCCATGTTTTGGCAGCAAATTACATAGAGCTCCAGGTTTTCTTGAGAGCATGTGTGAAAACACAGACCAAAGGCTTGGTCAAAGCCCCATGCTTCCTAACTTTGGTTGCCTGGGTGGGGCATTCTAGGTCTGCTGTGATGAGCTGTGATTTGAGGAAGTAGAGCAGTTCTCTGGTCACAGAGCCAGAAAAAGGAAGGGATTAGGAATATAGGGAACTCTCTGAACGAAGACGGGCAGAGAGTCCAAGTGGTATCTGACTAGGAAAGGAGGTCATGTGTAGACAGGTGGCCTGGGACATGCTAGGGAGTAAAGGGTGGGGCACAAAGTCAGGAGATGCCAGCTAGCCAGTAACGTACAGTGTCTGTGTGCCTGCCACACACTTCCTTAGGGCTCCAAGGCAGCAGGCAGCTCTCCTAAGTCCTGTCTAAACCCAGGGAGCACTGGGGCTGGGAGCAGTCCAGGACCAGCTTGGCCATATTTGCCAATCCTAGGGATGCTCTGCACCCTCACACAGAGGCACTGCACGAGCCACCAACATGACACCCAACCTCCTCCTACAGAACTTTCAGCTACAACGGGCGGGGGCCTGCTGGCCTCAGAATAAAGCTAAGGGACAGCTGGGATCCTAAAACAGAGGCATCGTGACATGTAGCAGTAATGCAACTGCAAAGGCTCAGCCACACGCTTCCCTCCTTCATGAGCTGAAGTTCATACACCCCAAATGGTGGATTTTTAAGAGAAAAAAACAAAAAGGCTCCCACAGCTGCTATAAGCCTAATGTTTTTGCGGTTGTTGAACTTAAAATATCCTAATTAAGTTAAAAAATGAAAGAAAATTATCAGCGGTTTATCTCTATTGTTAAAAAGCACATTTCCCATTAAATGCTTCCAGTACACCTAAACAGAGTTTACTGTGAGCTAGGCATCATTCTCATTTAATCTATTAACACTGACAGTTCTACAGTAACCTGTTTACAAATACACAGTTATTTTATATTAAATTTAACATATGATTTAACACTCCCACAGTAGCCCCATGGTAGGGACTGTTATGCCCATTTTACAGACGAGAAGCATACAGGCTCAATAATTTGCACTGTGCCCTAGCTGGCAAGTGGAGAGGTGATGATTCTGGTGGTCTAGTTCCAGCAGTTCAAGCACATGGCTTCAAAGATCCATGGAACTAATTTTGCTGTCTTAAAAAGAACATGAAGTGGAATAAAATGAGGAGAGAGGGAAAAAAGCAAACATTTACAATATTTTCAACCAGTTGTGGTGAGGTGTTAAATTCTAGGTCAATGCTTACAGACTTCTGGAGGGATGGCCTCACTCAGGTGAGTAGCAGCCACGGGCCTCCCTGGTATTCTGCTTGCCCTGGGTAACATTAGGCAGGGAATAGCCCATGAGCAAAACACATGACTGACTCCCACAGCTCTGCCTTTCTGTGTATGCTATGGTTTCTCACTCATGACATTTTGACAGGGTAGAAACAAAGGAGTCTGGCCTGGCTGATGACAATTCCAGCAATAAGCTGAGCTGCTTTCCATCCCATCCCCACACCGTGGCCAATCCTGCATAAACCAGGCTTACCCTGGCTCCCTTCTTGGTCAGCAGACACACCAGCTTCATGTGGCCGGCAGCTGCCGCGTAACAGAGGGCAGTCATGCCATTTTCTGACATTCCATCCAGGCAGGCACCAAATTCCAGGAGCAGAGTGACAACCTCTTCGTGGCCGAGGTGAGACTGGACACACAGGATCGGGGCATTATTTAACACTTCTGTCCTGTAGTTCACGTTGGCCCCTCCCAAAATCAGGAGCCGGCTCACCTGTTGGACAATGACCCCCAACAAGATTAATTTTTCACAAAAAAAGGTCATCTCAAAACATTTGTGGAAAAGGGCAGTATCTTCAATTTCTGGTATCATTTTAATCCAGTGTTTCTCAAACTTGAGTGTGTAACCAGTATCATCTGGGGATATATTAATAGGGCACACCCTCATCAGTGGGGATATAAAACGGTACAGCTGTAATGAGAAGCAGGATGATGGTTCCTCAAAAAATCAAAAATAGAACTACTGCCTGCAATTCCAGCTACTTGGGAGGTTGAGGTGGGAGGACTGCTTGAGGCCAGGAGTTGAGACTATAGTGAGATACGTCATTATTCCTATAAATTGTCACTGCACTCCAGCCTGTGCAACAGAGTGAGGCCCTGTCTCTAAAATAAAACAGAACTACTGGTAATCTCACTTCTGAAAAAAATTGGAATTATATTTTGGAGAGTGGGTCCCTTATAGTACAGGCTTCCTCCTGCTAGGTAAGGTAAGTGTTGTGGGAACCCATGGGCATCAGTGTACCAGCTAGTGCTGTTGAATTTTTTTTGGAGGTTCTTTCAACACATTTACCCAATTCATGATAAGTGATGTACTAGCATACCTGCCTGTGTTCAGCAGTTTTTGACAAAAAAACCAGCATGACCCCCATGTTCCACCCTCCCTATTCACCTGATCTTGCCCTGAGCAATTTCTGCTTGTTTGTTTGTTTGTTTCTCCAGATGAATAGTTTTTTGCTGATGTGGAAGAGGTGAAACAAACAACAGCAGAAGCACTAAAAGGCATCAAAACCGACAAGTTAAAAACTGTATTGAGCAGTGAAAAAAGCATCTTGATAGGTGTATTGCATCCAACAGAGACTGCTTTGAAGGTGACTGAAGTTTAAACATTTAAGAATAAATACACAATTTCTTATAAATACATTTTTTGGGTCCCCCCCCCATACAAAGGAATATTGTTTGGCCTCAAAGAAGGAATCTCGCCATACGTGACAGCATGGATGAATCTGGAGGACATCATGCTAAGTGAAATAAGCCAGACACAAAAGGAAGAGACCAGGTAATACCACTCATGAGGTATACAGAGTAGTCAAATTCATAGAGATGGAAAGTAGAATGGAGGGGCCTGGGTCTGCTCGAGGAAAAAATTGAAACTGCTGCTTAGTATACAGAGTTTTAGTTTTACAATATGAAAAGCTCAAGACATTCCCTGCATAACAATGAATATGCTTAACACTGCTCAACTGTAGGCGAAAAGGTTAAGACAGTATGTTTTCTGGTATGTGTTTTTTTTAATCACAATTAAAAATAAAGATGAAAAGAACTGCCCATTATCAGGTTCCACCCCCTGGTTTCTGACTCAGGATCTGGGTGGCACATTTCCCAGGTAATACTGACACTGTGGGTTGGAGGACCCCACAGTGAAAAAAATCACTATTTAATCTAAATAAAAACAGAGAAGTCACTTTTTCTGGCAAAGAAGTAATAATAACAGGATTAAATAATTAACAGTGAGATAACAAAGCCAGAAGTAAATACAAACACTCCTTTCTTTCCCATGGGCATTTGCCCATTTAATGATGGGTGATTTACTAGCACACCTGCCCACACTATACTGAGTGTTCAGCAGTCTTTGATCAAAAATAGCATGACCCCCATGTCTCACCCTCCCTACCCAGCTGATCTTGTCCTGAGAAACTTGTTTGCTTGCTTCCTAAAAGGAAAAGCAGAACATATGGAAACGTCTATATGCCCCAGACCATGAGCAGCATAACACAACTAGAAAATAATCTGCCGGGCTCGGTGGCTCAGCCTGTAATCCCGCACCTTTGGGAGGCTGAGGTGAGTGGATTGCCTGAGCCTGTGGGTTCGAGACCCGCCCAGGCAACTTGGTGAGTCCTCATCTCTACAATAACTCAAAATGAGCTGGGCATGGTAGCGCGCGCCTGTGGTTCCAGCTACTTGGAAGGCTGAGGCGGAAGGATCGCCGGAGCCCAGCAGGTCGAGGCTGCGGTGGCCGGGAGCGGCCACTGCACTCCAGTCTGGGAGACAGAGTGAGACTCCAACTCAAAAAAAAAAAAAAGAAAAGAAAAGAATCTGCTTGCCCAAACTTTACCTGTATAATGACTACTTGTATATCTAATCCTGAACGGTACCCCACATCTTTCAAATAAAAATAAATAAATAGGGAGGAAAGAAAAGAATCTACTTCTTCCACTAATTACTACATCCTCCACCCACTAACTTCCTTGGATCCAGATATCTGGGAAAGTTGTTTACCTACAAATTTTTAAGTAAAATTACTAAACATATACAAATTTTTACTATATTAATATCCTCTTCAAATCTCCAGGTAATTAGGAAGAAATGATGCTTCTTGAACAGCTATTAAGATTTCCAGAGTGTTTATTTAAACGGTTCATGTCAATGGTCCTGACCTGCATCCATCACGGCCCCTGTCACAGCTCTGGCAGGTCCTCGGCCTGCCCCCTAAATGTGAAAACCACAGAGACGGTGTCATCTATTGACTGGAGACACCGGGATCATTAAAAGATACAGAGAGATGATGAGGCACATAAAATTCAGGGTATTTCAGTGACATGTGTCTACAAAAACTGTGGACAGCATATTTACAAGTGGATGGAATTGGGAAATTCATACTCCCAGGTGGTAAAACCAGAACTCACAACAGCAGAGTGGCAGGTTAGAAACCAAAGTATAAAACCTGAAGATGTCTTGGCTGCTGCTAAAGCTTGAACCCCATGGGACCCAGGCCTCCTCTCTTTCCTTCTTTCCAGGACCATTCCTCTTGCTTCTCTCTCACTGCAGCTACCCTGGATGGGACGTTTGTCCTGTGGCAACATCAAGCAGCTCTGATGTAATGGCCACTAGCTCACAGTTCCCTTTGACTAGAACACTCATTCTAGATGTACAGATGCAAAGGATTGCTTCCTAAAGGTCTCTGCTCCAACACCAGGACACTGGCGAGAAGTGCCCTGTCCCTGCTGCCACGGACACATAGCCATACACCCATGCATGTACCCAGGCCCTCTCCATCCCTCACTCTCTGTTTTCTAGCTTAGTCCACCACACCAGGTGCTGGTTCTCAGATACTGAAGTTCACAGAGAAGAAAGGGGCAAAGGAAGTCCCTCCACAGGCAGGGATGGCCTACCTGTCAGGTCTTACACACCACTGGGACCGTCACTGACACTTAAGGAAGGACAGGCCATGCCTGAGGGACGAGGCAGCCGGGTCAAGGCAGCCCTGACAAGCCAGCTGACTGCCTGACCGCTGCCCTGCTGTTTACCCCATCAGAAGGACCATCATCTACCTGACCCAGCTGAGCACGAACCCAGCCTCCCACTGTCAACCTGCACTGGAGGTAAAGGCAGACTACCACCAGACTCAAACATAATTCAAAAGCATCTGAAGACTGCAAGTGTTAAATGAAAAGCAAGGCTTTCTTAAAAAAAAAAAAAAAAGATTTCCCTTTGAATAACTATGATTGGTATGGAAAAAATAGGATTACACTGTAGAAATACTTGGGGATTTTATCAAGAGCTAGGAAACCAGTTCCCATAAGAAGAATAGAGACAATACACATGTCTAGAAATACATGTAACACTCTTGAGGGGCACATCAGGCTCTGCTAACCACAGGACAGGCAGGAATTGCTTATAAATTCCCTGGATGACTTCACCAGCTAGTTACCCTCTCCCTCCCTCATCAAGCCCATACCCTCTGGAGATCCATGAGCCTAAAAGAAAAAGATGGATTCAGTAGTCTAAGTATTCAATCAGTTGCTTAACTAACTTGCTGTGTGATTTTCAGAAAATTACTCTTCCTTTCTGTGCTTCAAGTGGCTCCTAAGAAATCAGCAGTATCTAACTCCATTCTACCTAATAGGTACCCTTGGCTTATAATGTTGGAAGGTGTGCCTGCAGTACCATGATGAGTACCTTAAAAGAGTTTACCTGGAAGGCATGTGCTCATTGCAAACCTTTCCTAAAGATGTTTGCCTTCAACTCACATACCATCGGATTCTGGGAAATATTTCCTTTGCTGGTGTAATGCAGTTATTTTTACCAATCAACCCCTCATCAGCTTGTGGGTCTTCCCCTAATCTCTGGTTCTTAACCATGCTGCACACTGAAACCACCTGGGAGTTTGCAAGTTTCCAACGCCTGGGCCTAACCCTTGGAGATTCTGACTTAACTGGGGTTGGTGCTCTGACACTCAGAGCTCCCAAGTGATTCTAGTTGGCAGCCAGCGCTGTAAACAATCAGGTGACAAATAAACCTACACAGCATGGGCTTGCTGAGAGCCAGGTACACTGTGATTTGGGGTAAGCTACTAACTACTCTCAACCTCAGTTTTCTCATCTGATAAATGGAGGTAAACACATTTCACTTCACTGGGTGGCTGTACAGAGTAAAAATGAAAATGAATGTGTGAAAAAGTGTGTGTCTATGTATCTATGCACACACATGCATACAACATTTACCACAGCACTTAGCCTCCTGTGAATGCTAAATAAATGTTAACTACTATTGTTATAATCATGCTTTCATGGAATCTTCAGAAGGGACAAGAGCCCAGGTCCCAAGTGCCAGAAGGCACAGGAGGAGGAAGCTCTGCCCACCTGTCTACATCCCCCTGTGCCCTTCCTGGGTCCCTGTGGACCATCCACCAGTACACAGCAGCAAGGAGACTTCATGCAGAGTGAGGGAAGGGGTGAGTCACCCGGAACCATCAAACCCTCAAGATAGATGGCTCCTGCTCACAAGCACCGACTGGCACATCCAGAAGTTCCCAGGTGCTTACAACAAGAATCACAGTTTCCAGAGATGAGGCAAACCACTAATAAGAACTCATGTGGACATGTATACATGCCAAGTATTTCCCCAGCAGCTTTAATACCTCGGCGAGGTTTCTAATTACTCTAGAGACAGGCTCTTTTGTTGTCTCCATTTTGTAGGTGAGAAAGCCAAGGCTCAGAGGGAGTTAGGCAAAGATGGGCAGTGAACACAAAGCTGACGAATGTCACATCGCAGGCCAGCGGCGGAGGCAGCAGGCCCAGCGAAGACGGCACTGCGTTAAGAGGAGGTATTGAAACACGTCTTCCCAAAGATTTTCCCCCAACCACATGAACATTTTTTGGCCATCATCACAGAAGCCCTCCTTGGACAACACTTGGATGTAGCAGTATTATCTAAAGATGTCTGGATCCAAGGAAAGAAAACACAAAGGGGAATGTGCCTACGCAAAGCAGTAAGATCATGAGGAACAGAAAAGCACTGACCCAGGCGGTCATGAGGTGAAGTCAAAGTTTTCTCACTAAATATAGTGGAAATCCATACAGGCACAAGTGTTTTAAAATGTGTGTTGCCTGACTGTGACACAGAATATGACTAGATCCCTTAGCCAAGCGAGGCAGGCCCAAGTCCACGCCTAGCCCCTGTTCTCCCTCATTGCTCTCCAGCTGGGAAAAGAATCACAAACGGAATTCTCCAGAGTCCACAGTCCACGACTGGCAGCCGATCCTAGGAGATGGAGCGAACAAAACCACCAGCTGGACTGAAGCCTGGGGGTGCTGGCGGCAGGAACCCCAGTGGGCCAGCGGAGCCCGGGCTGGCACCACCCTGGCCTGACCACGGGAGACGACATTATCAGACATCGCTGGTATGCCAATGAAATTAAAATCCATCTACCGAATAGTCATCCCAGAGCAAGTCACTTTAATTTACCAAAGTGGCAAACTGCAATTATTGCTCAAAATGACATTCATTCCTGTATGACAACATTTAATATTCTCTAAAAAAAGTTCCTTAATTGCATGCATAATTTTAAATTACTGTAATTTGTTCAAGATTCTGTGAAAACCTTTCCCCCCCTTGAAAGATAAAAGAAACAGAAGAATAATGGAAGACCTTAAAATTCTAGAACCACATTTATAATTCAGGGGGTGGGGTAGATGTAGGTGACACTGGAGTCTTACAAAACAAAGTAAAAATGATTAACTATTAAAACTGCAGGTGGGTTAAAGAGGAAAATTTATAACCCCAGGAGGGTCAAATCCATTCCATTATTATGCTCTCTTAATTTACTGTCTTAAAAACTCCTATTCAACCATTTGTTTCCCATTTACTTCACTCCACATTAAAAGAATAACTTCTGTGCCCATAAATTCATTAAAGAAGTGGAAACAGACGTTGCCATTTTAATTCTTATTTCTTTTGTTCTTGTCACGATTATAAGATTTTATTAGTTATGGAAAACCCAAAAGATATACTGTTGGCTAAGATGAAAGATGAAACGATGTTATAATAGTAACCTCAACTCTAACGGTTACACAATATAAGTGAAAAAAATTCCTAATACAATTTCTTCATTATGTGAAACCTAAACTTAACCATTTGCTTTATGTGACTCCATCTAGAAAGAGCTCCCTTTGACCAGGAGCAGCAGCTTGAAGTCAATTCTCTTTAACTATTAAAAAAAAAAAACATCCTGTCCACACACCCTGCAAAACTTGCACGTAGGGCTCAGTTGTGACATGGGCACTCAACTCTGCAAGTCTGGAGTGTGAGGAAAAATACGTAAAGGAGCAGGCACAGAGTAGGGCAGAGGCTCCCCATGAGCAGTTCTACAGCCCTGCTCTGCCTCAGGCGCCAGCCAAGAGGACCAGCTGAGGCCGAATCCAACGTGCTCTCTGCCCATCAGCCTCCAACCCCAATGGGGGCCAAGTCCACCTGGACAAGGCAGCACTCTTACCTCTGCAAAGACACTATCTGTGTCTACCAGTGCCTCTACTCTATTCCAAGGCTCTGCACTGAGCAGCAGGGTTCCAGGTGACCCCAGACTCAGAGTACTGCTAGGTCCTCCTTGACTCCCAGGAGGCTCAGGTGGCTTCATGACTCCCCCACCCTTCTACACACACCAGGAAGGCAGGGAAGGGGGCACAGCACACATCTGCCCAGACATGGGGAAGCACTCTGCATGACCCAGACCCCAGACACATGTCCCAGTGCAGCTGCCCAGGGGGAAGTGTGTGGACAGGAGGAGAGGAGAAGCACAAAGGTGCCCCCAGAGCATCCTCCATGGCACTGTATATGGTCCCCTTCCCAGAGGGGTTTGATGAGTACAAGTGAGGAGAAGTGGGAGACAGAGCCTGGAGACCGAGTCAGGACTTGGCCCCCTTCTTCACTGGATACCACGTTGGGCCTCCTTCCTGATACTGACAAGGAATAGATACAATCATTTCAGAGAAGTGACTTAGGGGAAGACCTGGCTCATGGGAAACTGCCCCAGAACTTTTGTGGGCAGCTGGGCATATCACTGTTTGGGGCTGAAAGGCCTGGACACTAACTTTCTCTGTGGCCTAAGCCAGATACCGGACCTCTGTGTGCTTTATATTCTAAGAGTGCATTACACAAGGAAGAAAAATCCACCTTAAAAAGCTGAGCAGAGAACCGTGACCTGACAGTCACTGATGGAGGAGTGAAGAAGCTCTTAACTCCATAGTGGGCCAAGCTGATGCCCTTTCTGTAGCCAGAAACGTATGTGTACATGGAATCTTAAGTCACAGTTTTTCTGTGTACCCATCTCTGCATCACTCATTAATGCTTCATTTCCTATGAACTCTAAAGAGGTGGTCCAGATTAGTAACCCAAGACACTTTAAAAATCCATCATTCCCGGAAATCTCTCCTGACCTTTGGTTCCCTTTGTCAATTGTTACCTTATCCCGTCCGCTCTGAAACAGTCACCACATGCTCACTGAACAGCCCAGGCCACCCACATCTTCCTACTGGATGGAGAAAAGCTACACTTAAAGAGAATGTATAATACAGCATCCAATTCTACATGATATACATCAGGGAAGTGCATCATTAGAAGCTCCTCTACTTTCTCTCGCCACCACCCAGGCAGGACTGTTGGAGGAACAGCCAGTGGCCGGCCAGGACTGGAGCTCTGGCTCTGTGCAGATGGGTGCTCACCTTCACGTTGGGGGTATAAAGATTCCTGAGAGAGGCGAGGGCGGCAGACAGCCCCTCGGTGCTGTAACCGATCCACAGGGCTTGGAGATGGCTTGACGAGATTCCCGTCTTCTTACTGAGGCCCTGGAAACAGAGACATATCTGCCTGAGAATCTCCTGCAGTGTCACTTTGAAAGCAGGTCTGAGCCGGGGTTGGTGGCTCAGCCTGTAATCCCATGCTTTGGGAGGCTGAGGTGAGTCCTGAGCCCGCGGGTTGGAGACCCGTCTGGGCAACTTGGTGAGACCTCATTTCTACAATAAATCAAAAAAAAAAATCTGGGCGTGGTAGCGCACGCCTATAGTTCCAGCTACTTGGAAGGCTGAGGCAGAAGGATTGCCGGAGCCTAGCAGGTCGAGGCTGAGGTGGCTGGGAGCGTGCCACTGCACTCCAGTCTGGGCAACAGAATGAGACTCCAACTCAAAAGAAAAAAAAAAGGAAAGCGGGTCTGCCCAGAGGAAATGTGCTGAACACACAGCAAATTGTACAAAGAACGCCTGGACTTGAGTGCTCACTACCTAAACCAAGGTTCGAAGAATCAGCCTGCCTTTTCTATGTGAACTATGTGCCTGGGGAGAGATGGCCGAGGAGAGAGTTTCTCTTTATAGAAGTAGAGTAGAGGAAGAATAAACAATAAAGCTAGAATATCACCACCTGAGTCCAGTGTGGTGCCAAGCGAGTGCCTGTAGTTCCAGCTATTCAGGAGGTTGAGGCGGGAGGATTGCTTGAGGCCAGGAGTCTGAGACAAGCCTGGGCAACAGAGAAATACCCCATCTCAAAAAAAATAAAAGGGAAGAATATCACCATCTGTAACCCCTAATGAATGAATGAATCCAGGCAGTGACTGGTAATGACTGAAGGCATCACAAAATGAGACACAAGCACAAATGCAGTGCCTCCTGACATAAGAAACTCCACCACTGTAAATTAATCTTGATACTCTACAAGGGAGGAAGAAAAAAAAAATCAAGTTGCTCAAGCCTCCATATATAACTACTAAATGATAGAAAACCTAGGGAAAAGAGAAAAATGTTAAACTACACCACGGAAACACAATCAGAAAAATCCAGGTGGTGTGAAATTATACAGCTCAAGGAACTCAGGTTCCCAGACAAATAAATAACAATAAAACAAAAGGTATTTGCTATAGTTTGGGTATCTGTCCCCTCCAAATCTCATGTTGAAATTTGATCCCCAATGCTGGGATCTGGTAGGATGTGTTTGTGTCATGGGGGTGGCTTGGTGCCATCCTTGAGGTAATGCATGAGTTCCCTTCATTAGTTCCCATGAAAGCAGGTTGTTAAAAAGATCCTGGCACCTCCCTCCCAGCCCCTCCCCTTGCTTCTTCCTTCTCCCCATGCAAGGCTTCTTCGCCTTCACCTTCTGCCATGAGTGGAAGCTCCCTGAGGCCCTCACCAGAAACAGATGCTGACACCATGCTTCTGGTACAGCCTGTAGAACCGTGAGCCAAATAAGCCTCCTTGCTTTATAAATTACCCAGCCTCAGGGATTCCTTTATAGCAACGCAAAACAGATGAAGACAGTAATGAATGAAGTGGAACTTTTATATGAAAAGAAACCCAAACGAGATTTAGATGGGGAAAAGTCAAACTCAACCACATCACTGAGATACACACTTGAGTGGTTCACTGTGAAGAAACACGAGGAAAGGCTCAGGCCAAGTGAGAACAGAGGTGACTGCTGCAGAGAGAGAAGGGGGTGGTATTTGAGCTGGCTGCGCGCAGGGCTTCGGGAACAGCTGACAGCGCTGCCTAAAATCTCCAACACCCAAACCTCAAAGTGACAACAACAAAGAAGCCTTTCCCCACGATGGTATGCGTCTCACCTTGAAAATGTGTGCCTTCAGGATGTGGTGGCCAAGCTCCATGGTCTGCTGGCGGTTCAGCTTACCCTCCTGCCGCGAGAACATGAACGCCAGGAGAGCATGCCCATTCCTAGAAGGAACACAACAGCTCATTACAAAGAACCCCGTCCACCGCGTTGCAGGCCCTCAGGATGCACACTGTGTGCCACACCAGTCCTGAACCCTTCTCCTGAGAATGTGTACACAGCTACCTCCTTACAAAAGATTCTTTGAGTCATTTTAAGGCTTTTTCTGGATTCCTCTACCTTTGTGGTATAACCAAAAATGAAACTGGAGGTTGGGGCGGGTCTTTATCTTTGGAACCACCCACTTTCAGTCTCGCATCACCTTAACTATTGATGTACAACTGGCACAAGACGTAACCCCATAAGACTAAGGGTCTTGCTTGAGTCAATAGTCACAATGCCTACCAAGGTACCCAACACTCAGTAAGCACTCAAACATGATTCTCAGATGGACGGACAAATAGACAGATGAAGCAGAACCGTTCCCAAGCCTGGACATCAGGCTTCCTTCAGGACAACTGCCACTGAGGGCACACCTGGGCCAGGACATGGCCTCACAGTGGGAAGGAAAGAAAAACCAGGCCATGTTTAACGACAGCTCATGATCAGAGACACACAGAATTCCAGGCTTGGATGCCTTGGTTCTCGTGGGGGGAAGACAGCTAAGATGTATGAGTGGGCTTGCTGTGGCAGGGCATGTGATGGACATTCCACTGACACCACCCATTTACCCCCACTAACCGTTTCAGGAAGGGCCCGCCCTACCCATTTTCCCCTCTGACTCTACAGGACTCATTCTGTCTCCTTGTGGACTCCATGTTTTTGAGCCAATTTGCTGGGAGAAGATACACAGAGTTGCTTATTCCAAGAGCAGCGATTTCTCTGCATTGTGAATTATTTCATTTCTATGAACTTGACAACTTTAAGCTCCGGTTTTGTTGGGGAAAAGCGGTTGGTTGTGGAAGAAAGTATAAACTCCCCCCATATTCATTCCTATCTACACCTTATAACTAACACCATGCTTGACATGGGAGATTTCACAGGGGACAATGCAAGGTGTCTCCCTTGAAGAGTGCTTGGACGGAAGGAGACACAAGCAAACAAGATAAGATGGAATTCAGTGACATCAGTGCTGTGAACAAATCCCATGGGAAAAGGGAGGAGGCAAGCTGGCCTGCCACTTAGCTCCATACCTTCCCCCTGACATTTCCAACGTCTCCCATTTGTAATGGATCGTGCGTTTTCCTGCACAGTCTCAAGGTTGTTTTCAACAATGTCCCAATCTCCTGTGTTATTACAAACAACAAACCTTTCCCACTCTCAACGCCAAACCTCTCAGTCCCTCCCCCTCCCATCCAGTACACCAGTTCTTTCCTCTTTCACATCTCACAACCCAACAGACAGAGTCTCCTAAGGATTCAGGACTTTTTTTCCTCACTGAGAATCCAGTGACTTCCTCTTAATGCTCCTTCACCTTTTGGCATCACTCATATCCCTGTCCTCCCTCCCTGAAATCCTCTTCTACACCCCGGAAAGCCCCACACTCTCATTCCTCTAATGACACCAGCTTCTTCACCAAGCTGCACCAACTACTTCTCTGTCAATGATGCTGAATCTTCAACCACCAACTTCTCCTCCAACCTTTAGACCTGCCCTGCGCTGAAAGCTGCCTGCTGGGAGAAAAAACTACACTGCAAGCTCAACTGCTGAAAACTGAAGCCAGCTCTGTCCCTGCAAAACCTGCCCTACCACCTACCTGCCTTTCTAACCCTTCCCAAGAGCAATGCCACTCCTAGTTTCTGAGGCTTGACACCACCTTGAAGTCACTGAAGGCTCCTCCTCGACTCAGTCCACAAGGCCAAACCATGCTGCTGTCTCCTGTCAGCAAGGCCTGTCTCCAACTCATAGCGTCTCTAACCCTGGTCTACCAAGTCCCCAGTCCACCAGCTCGCCACTCCTGACTGGTACAGTGGCTCCAACACTCCATACCCGTTATGCTCTGTAGACTCTACACCCCTGTTCACACAGATGGTCCATGCTCTGGAACCTTCATGCATTCTCCAGAGATGACGGATCAAAGATGACAAGGTGACTGTTTCCTGGATCCTTTGGTTCTTTAGGGCGGCACAAGGACTCTCAAAATCTAGAACAATCCTGTTTGCTCTTTTCCCCATGCCGTTAACTTGAGGAATGAACGAATAGGGTATCAGTAGGTGAAATAAGGCTACTGCAGACAGGAGGTGCTGTCAGAGGTATCACATTAGGGCGATGCCTTGTAATCCCAGCACTCTGGGAGGCCGAAGTGGGAGGACTGCTTCAGCACAGGAGTTCGAGACCAGCCTGGGCAATACAGCAAGATCTCGTCTTTACAAAGAATTGAAAAATTAGTCAGGTGTGGTGGTGCATGCTTGCAGTCCCAGCTACTTGGGAGGTTGCGGTGGAAGGATCACCTGAGCCCAGGAGTTGGAGGTTGCGGTGAGCCATGATCATGCCACTGCACTCCAGCCTGGGTGACAGAATGAGACTCTGGTTCCCCAAAAAAGGGCCGCACTCCCGAGCACATCCTTCTGCCAGCTCTTTCCACTCTTCTGTTCCATGACAACAGCTCCAGTCAGGACTAGATTTGCTAGCCCTGATGCGATGCCTCTGACAGCACCTCCTGTCTGCAGTAGCCTTATTTCACCTACTGATACCCTATTCGTTCATTCCTCAAGTTAACGGCATGGGGAAAAGAGCAAACAGGATTGTTCTAGATTTTGAGAGTCCTTGTGCCGCCCTAAAGAAACAAAGGATCCAGGAAACAGTCACCAGTGGTTCCTAGTACCAGGGCATTAAGATGTGTGTGCCTCTTGAGAGAAGTGTTCACCATCACTATTAAGTATCCCTGCAAAAAAATACAAATAAAAACTCTAATCAAGCCAGGCTTGGTGGCTCAGTCTGTAATCCCGCACCTTTGGGAGGCTGATGTGAGTGGATTGACTGAGCCCGCGGGTTCGAGACCCATCTGGGCAACTTGGTGAGACCTCATCTCTACAATAAATCAAAAATTAGCCGGGCGTGGTAGCGCGTGCCTGTAGTTCCAGCTACTTGGAAGGCTGAGGCGGAAGGATCGCCAGAGCCCAGCAGGTCTAAACTGCGGTGGCCGGGAGCGTGCCACTGCACTCCAATCTGGGCAACAGAGTGAGACTCCAACTCAAAAAAAAAACAAAACAACTCTAATCAATCCTCTAGGTTTAGCAACTAGCATACAGGAAACAGGACTGAAAGAAATTCATACACACACACACACAAACACACAAGGAGTACACAAAATTCAGACTATGGAAAGCTATACAGGATAAACTACTCAGTTGCTTTTTTTTAAAACAAATAAATTGTGGGGATTGGGGAAGAAGTAGGAGAGAAGTTATAAATTAAAAGAAACAACTAGCCAGGCTCGGTGGCTCAGCTTGTAATCCCGCGCCTTTGGGAGGCTGAGGTGAGTGGACTGCCTGAGCCCGCGGGTTTGAGACCCACCTGGGCAGCAAGACCTCATCTCTACAATAAATCAAAAAAATTAGCCGGGCGTGGTAGCGCACGCCTGTAGTTCCAGCTACTTGGAAGGCTGAGGCGGAAGGATCGCCGGAGCCCAGCAGGTCGAGGCTGCGGTGGCCGGGAGCAGCCACTGCGCTCGTCTGGGCGACAGAGTGAGACTCCAACTCAAAAAAAAAAGAAACAACTAAACGCATATTATGGCCTTTTTGGATCCTAGTCTGAACATACTTAAAAAATTTGAGCATGGCTAAATATTTCAGGATAGTGAAGTCTTTCTATTAATATTCTAGGTGTAATAATTCGTATTGTGGTTAAGAAAATATCCCTTTTGTGAGATGTATAATCAATTATTTAAAGTAAAAGGTCATGTTTAGGCCAGGTATGGTGGCTCACACCTGTAATCTTAGTGCTTTTGGAGGCTGAGGTGGGAGGACAGCCTGAGAGGCCAGAAATTTGAGACTAGCCTGGGCAACATAGCAAGACCACATCTCTACAAAAAGTTTTTGTTTTGCTTTAAATTAGCCAAGCATGGTGGTGCCAGCCTATAGTCCCAGTTTTGTGGGAAGTGGGAGGATTGCTTGGGCTATGATTGTACCACTGCATTCCAGTCAGAATGACAGAGTGAGACACCATTTCTTTAAAAAAAAAAGAATATTTATAACATTTCAGGAAAAAAACATATGTAGTAAATATTATAAAATGTGAATATAAATGAAGACTCAGAAAAACTATCCTTTAACTTTATAATTCTACTCAGAATTCTAACCTAATGAATTATTTAAAAAATAGAAAAGAAGGAAGGGTGGGAGGTAACAGATTCTTTTTTTTTTCTTCTTGAGTCAGAGTCTCACTCTGTTGCCCAGACTGGAGGACAGAGGCATGCTCATGGCCACCACAGCTTCAACTCGCCGAGTTTAGGTGATCCTTACACCTCAGCCTTCCAAGTAGCTGGAACTACATGCGCGTGCCACCACGCCTGGCTAATTTTTTTGATTTATTGTAGAGACAAGGTCTCACCATGTTACCCAGGCTGGTCTGGAACCCCTGGGCTCAGGCAGTCTTCTTGCCTTTGCCTCCCAAAGTGCTGGAATTACAGGCGTGAGTCACCATGCCCAGCTTATAATCCCAGCACTTTGGGAGGCGGAGGTGAGAAGACTGCCTGAGCCCACCCATGGAGTCAAGATTCTCTTAAGAACTTACTTAATAGTTACCATCACTCAGTGAGAAGATACTCAAACTTTTTATAGATAAGGAAGTGAGATGTGGAGAATTAAAATTGATTTTATGTATAGAAAATACACAGGAACCAACAGAGTCAGGATTTGAATCTAGATCTGTAAGGCACCAAAACACGCACTACAGATTTTTATGTTTGTAAGTAGCCTAGAAGCAACTTAAAGGTCCAACAATGGAGTATTTTGAAGTACATTATAATTTACCTCCTTGGAAGTCTGTGCAGCCATGAAAAATAAAATGACACTTTTCTAAGATTTCTAACAGCTTGCTAGGGTGCCTGTGATGTGTTAAGCAAAAACTAGGACAAGAATTCTAAGGGGGAAGATGGTGATGTGTATGACGTTTGAGATGCCATGGAAAGAGGCAAAAATAAAAAATAAACTGTCTTTGTTTTTTTGGTTTTTTTGAGTTGGAGTCTCACTCTGTCACCCAGACTGGAGTGCACTGGCCGCTCCTGGCCACCACAGCCTCAACCTGCTGGGCTCCAGCGATCCTTCCGCCTCAGCCGTCCAAGTAGCTGGAACTACAGGCGCACACAACCACGCCCGGCTAATTTTTGATTTATTGTAGTGATGAGGTCTCGTCAAGTTGCCCAGGCAGGTCTCGAACCCACAGACTCAGGCAATCCACTCACCTTGGCCTCCCAAAGTGCTGGGATTACAGGCTGAGCCACTGAGCCCGGCCCATAAACTGTCTTTGATTGTTAGACTTTTCTGTTTCCCCCTCTATAATTGGAGCAAAAATACAACTATTTGGGGTGGGGGAAGAATTGCTACCATCTTTCAAGACCCAATCCAAATGTTACCACACATGTGAAACATTTTCCAGAAATCCCGTTCCCCACTGGAATCTTCTCCCCTTTTCCTGAGGTCCCATATGCAGTGTGCCTCCCTCCCTTTCAGCAACCAGCTTTCCTGCCTCATCCACTGTGTGTGGAAAGCCTCAAGAGCAGGGACCTTGTCCCAGGAAGCTCTGTATTTGTCATGGCACTCTGCACATGGTAGAGTCACAAATATGTTGAACTGAATCCCATCGCTTCATTCCAAGCTTGTCCTATATACTCTGTCTGCTAAACAAAGCTCAAGTACTTACAGGGGTCTTGGGAAAATGCTTCCCTCTACCACCCCAAGAGTGAGTGCCTTCTTACATTTTGTACCCTCAGCACTTCTCTAACCCCTACTGCCTAGTCCAGGCCCTGCCCCAGGTGATATCCCCAGGCCTGCTTATGAGAACAGAGCAGCACTCAGGACTGCAGTTGCTGGTTGGTACACACCCATCAGTTGCCCACTCTCGGCTCTGCCCTAGGCTGTGGAACCTCAATGCCTCCTGTTACCCTAAATGAAGTGAAGCTTAACGACGACTACAGCACAACTCTTCACCCTCAAATCCAGCAACAAACCTACACCCCTGAAGTCTTGTAATGGGTCTACACGCTCAACTACAGCCTATCTTCCTAGAAAATCATCTGACTTGGCTAGACATACAATGCATCTTTCACCTAGCTATTTTATGGTCTGGCCAAATAACCTAGATGTTAGAGTTTATTACCCCAAACCAGGCTCAAAGCTAACAACAAACCTTCAGCCCAGCATCACTTAAGAAAACAACAGCCACAACATGTTCCTGGGGAGGAAGGTGGCTGCAAGGCTTACAAGTGCTTGTTCACTTCTTCATTTCTGGACCTCAGCATCTGGTCATGCCCATGATACTCCTAAGGGGACAGCAGAACAGCTTGCCAACCCTGTCACTAGAGTAGGGGGCAATTCTGACTCATGGAGAGCAGAAGTTGTTCAAGACAGCAAAGGCACAGGCCAGGTAGAAGCAGAGGGCTTAAGTATGGTCTTGTGTGAAAGGATCTGCACCCTCAAACTCCCTGACCTCTCACCAGGCCACATGGCAGGTGGGCTTACCCCCCCCACCCTCCTGTGACACAAGAAGACCAGACAGCAAGAACCACACCCTGGCCTGACCTAGTCAGTCGCACCGAGCTGAACTGCCAGACTGGATGATCATGGGGCTTCCTTTGGGTCCACAGGTATGCTGGAACCTGGGACAAGGTCACTCTGTGCTCAACAGGTGGCAAGGAGAGGCAATGCTGGGGACCCAAGATGACCCTTCAGACCCACAGGGAATACCCTCTAGAGGAACCTGCTATTCCCTGGAGCTGATCTCACCCCATGGGTGTCCCTGCAGAAGTTGGGTGGAAAGGAGACAGGGCTCTATGAGAAAACGGACAGCAATGAAATGCCACACAGGCACTGCCCAGCTTCCACCATTCACATATATCATCCACACATAAGGGAGTCCTAAAACTCCAGCTAAAGGAAGGAGGCTTCTGCACAGAAGCAGAGAATCTCCCATTGTCCCTACTTCTGCCAAAAACAGGAAAAAATAAACAAAGCAGTACAACCGAATTACTCATCCTGGGTTACCTTTCCATTAAAACATGTGAAGCATGTTTGAAATCCTTTCTCCAACCGTACACAAGATTCCCTGCAAAGAGCTGTCAGACAGCACCTGCCGTACCTGGGTTCACACAGGAAGGCTGTGTTTTCCCCGTCTGCTCTCCACACAAGCCACTCCCTGAAGGATGGGTGGCAGAACATGCGGGTTTTGTCTCGCCTTTTAATGAGGAAGCAGGAGAGGGCATCCATTCTCTGCTGAAAGTCTTCCCATCCCTGTTCCCCCTGGATATGGCCGGCATTAATAGCCTGAAAAATCTGCTCATCTGTCATGGGGTGGAGAGACGCGAGGGCCACGTTGAGAATTGGAAGTGCCCTGTCAAAGGCGGACTGGGTCATGAATTTCATGTTGCACTGCAGCAGATAGAGCTCAGACAGAGACACAGGCACCACCTTGTAGCTGGCGCTCTTTATGACCAAGTGGCCCCTCTGGAAGAGGTCTAAGGTGAGCTTGAGATACAGGTAAGAGCCAAGGCTCCGCAGCACCAGGTGGCTGCTCACTTTCCCGATGAGAGCAGCGTCGGCCTTGCCGTTCAGGGAGATGTTGCTGAGGATGTCCTGGCTGCTGTGGACTCTATGCTGGACGTAGGCGTGCAGGTCGTTGTGAATGTCTTTGTTGTCCGGAAAGTCATCTAAGGAAAGCTTGACAAACGGCAATGCACTTACGATTTCCTGGGGACAAAACAAAAACCCACAGTATCACTCCACAGAGATGCCTTTTTTATTTTAGCAGCATTTCAAACCAGATTCACTACTTTTCTTTCAAGGAGGATTTTCATGGATTACAGGGTCTCATTGTTTTGTATTAAAACGTGTAATAGGATAAGGTGAAGATAAAAAGCTTATGTGAAAGAAATCCTGATGCGAGATGGAATCAGTAAAGGCCCCCCCGAGGCCCTCATCGGAGGACTCAGAGCCAAGCGAGCAGACTAAGTGCCCTGAGCACATAGTGGCAATGAGGCCAGTGCCAGGAGAGTCAGTGAGACCCCACAGTTGACCTATGACCCATAATCCTTACACTGTGCAACTGGTTATATAGCAGGACCAAACACAAACCAACACTACACATCTAAGAACATGACCAGATGCTAAGATAAGAGGTAGCCTTCCTTGTGCATCAAATACTGGAGCTGTGGAACCCAACCAGGAAACCTGAGACTGTCCTCAAGTTGTGTTCCTGTGACAGCCTGCTATAAAAAAGCTGCCTGCTTTGGTATAGAGTACATTATCATTTTTTAAATTGCTGGGCTTTTTAAAAGTGAACTTTTAAACTGAAGTATAATATACATACAGAGGTGCAAAAATCATAATTGCACAGTGCCACTGGTTTTCACAAAGTCAAACATACCTGTGTAACCAGCACCCAGAAACAGAACATCACTGACACCCCCCCCAAGTGCCCTTCCCATCTCTCCACCATTCCACAGATAAGCACACCTGACACCATACAAAAAGCTGTTTTTTTTTTTAACTTCCCACTATCATTTTTGAAGCATTTAAGTACATGTCCTCATTTTATGTAACAATTTTAAAAAGAAAACAATACAATTATTCCCATTTTACATGGATGCTAACTGAACCTCCGAATGCTTACATAGCTAGGAAGTAAAATAAAAGACTTCTGGGTCCTGTGCCCTGCTGACTGCCAAATCATAACTACTGTGTAAAAAATGACTACAAAGCACATGCATAAAATGTCTAAAACAACAAACATCAAACTCAACCAAAGTCCCCTTCCAGTTTTAATGAGGAATAAAACTCCAAATGTTGTTTTTCAATAAGTATCATCACAAAAGGGAAAAAATAAAAATCTAATGTCTAAATGTCTTCACTAAAAAAGGATAGATGGTAGCGCATGCCTGTAATTCCGGCTACTTGGAAGGCTGAGGCGGAAGGATCGCCGGAGCCCAGCAGGACAAGGCTGCAGTGGCCAGGAGCGGCCACTGCACTCCAGTCTGGGTGAAAGAGTGAGACTCCAACTCAAAAAAAAAAAGAAAAGGATAGATGTAGAGGGAGTCAATGGTTAAGGGTTCAGATGTGAGGGAAGATGAAGGAAAAAAATGACTCCTCCCTTCGCTATGTATGTTATGTCACATTTAAGCTTATGAAAAAATAGATCTCTCAGAACAGGCTTCAAGTATTTCATCCCTCACTTTCCCTCCTAAAAAACACAAAATCCCACTGCAAACCCATGCAAATTACTACTACAGGAATGACTTTAAACTGTAGCAGACCTGTTGGCCAGATGCCTCAGACAACTCCACACACTGAATGATGGTGTATCAGGCTAGACATCCCCACCTGAGATGTGAAGGCACAGTTCAACGCTAATAGGAAACTTACCCGACATCTTGATAAATATGGCTGGGGCTAAAATGGTCAGTTTCACCCATCTGTGGCTCTGCGGACTAATTTTTCAAATTCCTAACATAGTTTTCAGCTCAGCAGCTAAATGGCTCACAACAGTTTAAGTTATTTCTATTTATCACTGTGAAACTGGAATATGGGGACTTGGAAAGAGATTTGAGAATTCTTTTGTTACCTGAAAATTTGCTCTTACAGTCACAATCAACTTCAACCAGGCAGGAAATTTAGAAATAATTTTGGTAATAAATGAAGAAAGCGTATCTCCATAATCAGGTTTATGAAACTCAGCTTCATTTAAGCCATCTATCAAAATAATGTATTCTTCTTCAGGAATTTTCTGCTCTAAAGGATAAAATAATTTTTTCAAATTAAGAAATTATACATTTCTGGAAGATGGCACCACCCAGTGTATTTTAATGCACAGTTTTAAAGTGTTTGGAGAAATTTTAAAGGTTTACATATGGAATAAGAAATAGTTTTTTTCATAGAAACATCTTTTCTATTAAATTTATAATGAAAAGTGGGTCACAGGCTCAAAAGAAAACCAATTTTCACAAAACAGAAACATATGCATTTTACACATTAGCAGAATCTCAGTCGTGTATATGATATAGCTAGTTCTTTGTAAACCACTGTCACTGGGGTGACCCACAGTTAAGACATAAACACATACAGAACTCAATTCTGGAAAAGTCACTAGGTCCCCCATTAGAGTACCTCAGTGGGATCCAGGTAAGGAAAATTGACCCCGGCCCCAAAAACTAAATATCTGGCCCAAGCTGCACAACCACACAGTGTGCGAGCTCTGCTTTATAGACTCCCACAACAGGACTCTCTCCCACAAGTCTAAATCTAGTTTTCCATTTATTAGTACCTACTTTCTGCCCAGGGAACGAGAAGAAAGGGCAACATACCTGCTTCTAGCACCCTCTGGCAAAAGTGCTATGTAGGGAGGTAAATTAGCTCAAAGGGTACAGAGCAAAGGGAAGAAAAGATGCAAAACCAAAGAGCCTAAAATGTCATCGATGTCCCCTATTTTGTAGAATACTTAGGGGCAAAAAATAAAATAAAATGAAACCTCTAGAAATGACTTTAGCTTTCAACTCAACTGAGCAGAGGTCCTAAAAAAAAATCATGTTGGGAAATTTACCCAAATAATCCTCTTGTTCTCCCAATACTTGGGAATGCAACAGTCATAGGCAGCCATCTTCTAGAGTGCAAGTCATCTAAATAGCCTGCAGGAACATACTGGCTCCCTTGGGACTGTTCAATTGTAGATTTCATTCCTATTAGGTAGGATGTTTCGCTTAAAATGATGGGGGGGTGGTGGCAGAAGGGACCTCAGGGAACTGGTTCCGAGGAAGGGGACCAGACGGGCACTGATATTACCACATTCCACATTCTCTTCCTTCCCCACCTCACTCCTGCCCCCAGGGTTGAGCTGAGCACCCTCCTTCTGAGGACCACCTGGGTACCCTGTACCACTCTGGGGGGGGGCTGCAGGGGCAGCTCCGAGGTACCGTTTCTCAGACTTGTGAGTGGCTCCAGCACGCCCCTCTTGAAAGCTGCCACTGGGTCCTGCACACAGGATCTAAGGCTCAGCATGCTCTGGAGCTGGGGCTCCTTTATGAGAAGGTCTCTGTAGGCGGCCAGCTGATGGGACCGGCAGAGCAAAGCTGCGATGCTGTGCACGAACTCAGGCACGAGGCACGTGTACGTGTTATCCGCCTGGCAGTAGTGGTAGGCCACCACCTGCAGAGAAGCAGAGCTGTCAGCGTCACCTCACCCTCTTCACGCAGCTCCTTCAGCAATCTCAAACAGGAACAGAACTCTGCCCATTTGCAGAGATACAAGATACATTGCTTCCATTTCCCAAGACTGAGTCATTAGTCAGCCTAATTGATCCATTTATTCCTTCTTTCATTTGTGTGGTTTGCAGACCTTTAATTCCATCCACAAATCCATCTTGATTAACTCAAAAATCAGCCAGCGCAAGTTACTCTGTACTGAATATAAATTAATACAAGCCATTTATAAAACTTAAAGCCTACCCTGGCTTAAAGCAATTCCAAGCTATCCCCATGTTCTTGATATCGAAAGGTGCTATCTTCACTACATTTCTGTTCTCAAGAGCAGCAGCACCTCCTTTGGAAACCCTTCTGCTGACCCAAAGGGCAAATGATAAAGTTGGTAGCTATAATACACAAGGTGCAGAGTCACAGCTGTTCCTCCCCCCAGGCAGGAGAGTTCAAGCTCTCCATACACCCACACTTCGTCCAGGGACACTGTTTGAAAAATGTCAATTCGGATTTACCAAATTTCTGCCTATTGTGGGAAAAGACCAGCAGGAGGCCAGAGGGAGCCACACAAGTGCTGAGAGGATGAGGAGTGGTCTCTCTAACAAGGGATCTGTGGTGGCAGCAAGTCATTTGTGAAGGGGACCCAACAAAGGGCCAGACGCAGGACTCAGGAATGGGAGGCATATCGAAGACAAAAGAAGAATCCAATATTTTCCAAGTGAGGATGAAAGGAGGCAAGGTAAGAAAGGCAGAAAAGGACAACACACACTTGTGTGAGGTGCTGAATGTTTCTCAGAGGCATCTGAGTCACTGCCATCCCATTCTGCTCTGTAAGCCCCTGAAGGAAGTAGGGCAAAAAACCAAGAGCTGTGGCTCATCACTGAGGGCACCAGACACAGATTAAATGCCTTGCCAAGGTGACACAGATAAGTCAAGGTGGAGTTAGATCTCAGGTCTGTAGAAAAAGCAAGTGGCAAGAGTAGGTGTACAGCAGCTTATCTCAGGCCAGCCTGGAACCACCATGAGACTTCTGGTTTAGATTAAATTGATCATCAACATTCAGAGGAAAGCTGACTGCTCCTCACCTCTTATCTGGAGATAAATTAACGGGACACACGTGAGGATCCTGGGAGCTCTTGCAAACCACCCAGAGGCATCCACGACCACAGTCTTACCCAGCATTTGAGAAAAGTAGTTCAGCAACTCAATAGTGGGTCATGAAACCAATTTGAAGCCATAGTTTTGTTTTAAATATAAACTATCAGAGCACATTACAGGATATAAGAATAAGTATGGTTTTATAATGCTTTTGCTTCCATTACACATGTGATTAGGTATGTCCTTGAGTATCGGAGCTATAGTATAAAAGATGTACTCCTTATTGTGGGTCACAGTCCCAAGGGTTTGAAAAATCACCATAAGCAGGGATGGTTTTGAAGTCTGTACACTATCCTTCATCTCAGATCAACCCGTTCATGACCAGAGGACTGCTCTAAACCAGCACTCAGGGCACAGGGCTGTCCATGCCAAAGGCGGTTGAAATCTGAGAAGAAGAAGAAGAGGGTGCAGGGATCCTAGGCAGAGCAAGATTCATTTCAGCTCCTGGACCAAGCATCCTCCCCCGCAACCCAGGGCCTCCTCACAAGGTGCCCCCGTACTGCCCATCTCTGGTGATTCTCCAGCTCTACCAACTCACGCCTCTGCTGCCCAGGGAGTTCCAAGCAGCTTACCAGGGCAAAAAATGTAGCTTCTTTAATGCAGGATGCTGGCTGGTGAGCAAGTGATAGGTGCTGAACAGAAGGAAAACTTCAGAAGGAACTCAGAGACCATGAATTTAGGGAGGAAAACCAGTCAAGTCTCTTTCACAACTTCAAAAGAAACCTCGGACAGAAAGTCACAGGGAACCAAAGGCCCCAGGACAACAGAGTACAAGGAAGAGGCCTGGGTCAAGTGAAAAGCTCCCAAATCATGCCAAGGAGAGCACGTGCTCATGAGGATGGATTTGTGGTGAGCGCTCCTGCTGTCTTCTACTGTTTTGAGGGATTCTTTCAGTCCATTGTTTAAGGTGGATCAAAGACCACAGCCAGTGTCTTAAGATAGACATTTACTTTCATATGCATTTTTATCTGGAGCATTTCATCACAATTTTATCAAAAGCTATACTTCAGCATTAAGCAGTTGTCGCCATTTTAAGATTATTTTTTCAATTCACCTCTCAGAAACCAAACTAGCAAATCAATTGGGAAGGCTCCCATAAAACAAGGGCAGATTACCTTAGATGCAAGGTATTTCACTGCATCCTCTCTTGGTCTCTGGTTTTCAGGAGTGCCAGACCCAGGACCAGGAGGCACTTTGGCCACACTGGGAGCACTTGCAGAAGAGCTCGGTGAAAGCAATGGAGTGAAAGGAAGATCCTGGGTAGGGTCTGAGGCTGCAGAGAAAAGACACATTTCATTATTTACATCAGCACAGGAGTAGGGTGGGATGTTGAATATATTTCTTGATTAGCCCAAGAGAGTAGGTAATGAGTCATTATTCAAAGGTCCAAATGAGAGCACTTGTCTCCCACCCACCAGTTCTTCTCCCTGGAGAGCCGCTGGTTCCAGTTTCCTTTATTAAATTATTTGGATTAAAAAAAAAAAAATCTCTCACTATTCTTGTTCACTGTATTTAGAGACACTCCCTTTCTGATGGGTTTATTGCATATGAAATAAGCAGTGAATATTCAAGTATTTGGCTACTCTACCCCATGTTTGACCCAGTCTTTATAGTTTTCGTAAATCCAATACATAAGACAAGTCTGTGACAGAGTACAAAAGAAAGCTGTCTACATTAGACTACATCTGGCTTGTTCTGCCAGGACCCCAACCCCAGTTTTAGGACCAAAAATTCGCCAGGGCACTCAATCAGGCCTCATGCCCTGTCTCTGCCTACATAAAGGAGGAGAGTTATGTTATAGCTCAGGGGGACATCAGGGACTGCTAGCCTCACCCCAGCTGACAGCTAAATACACACAATGACAGAGAGAAGTATTCAAATACTTCACATATGATTGCAACCTTGATATACAACTGGAACAACTGGAGGAAATTCCATAATTTATGTCTATCCAAGTAGCAATTTCCTCCATCTATCTTATGTTACTACAATAAACTAGACATGTAATTAAACACATACATACTTTTAGGTGATGAACCAGGGCTGTTGGAAGCAATTTGCCTCATGCGGCTTCCATGGCAACTCAGCGCCACCAACTTGGAAATGATTGCCGTCTTCCCAAACCCCACATTGCCGATGATCACCGCGCCTCTATTTTCTGCCAGTTCTATATTCCGCAAGCTTTCTTCTACCTGGTGAAAGAGCCAATCTCTTCCCACAAACACAGAGTCTGTTGTTATGCTCGGTACTTCAAACAACAGGGGTTTCAACAAAATGTCTTGTGGCTTGTAGGGAGCAAATCGTGCTTTAAGGAAAAAAAAGACCATTATTTTAGAAGAAAATCAGAATTTTATAAACTCAGAAGCTCAATATGTCATAGCCTGTTTTTTACACTTAGTACAACCTTTAGTTTGACCTCACTAGAGATCTGCAAGCATTTCTAGTCTGGTTCTGCCAATACTTCTGTATTATCTCATTCATCATACCCTGTTGGTCCTACAAAGTGTCCTATTAAAATGACCTTCTAGTCCTGTCATGCCTCTGAGTTATTCTCATGATTCAAGGCAGACATGCAGAGGATTAGATAGAGCAATGCAAGAGGTTAAATCGTATCTCACTGGTTTATCTGAAACTGTATTTAAGACATGTACAAATAAAATGGAAACAGGTTTTCCCTAGAGACGGGGGCAGAGTGCTCATCTAGATGTGATGATGCTTTGCCTCATGGAAAGACTTCTGTGCACACAACTGAGTTTATGTCAGATATGGCCAATACAGTCAAGGAAGTGAAATAAAGCAGATTCTTTGTTAGTAACAAAAAACCTAGTCATTGTTAAATGACTCCCCCTTCACAAAAATCTCCTGTAGAATTATTTTTCAACTCCAGAAGCAAGTTAGTCACATGTTTTTAGGAAGAAGCCCAAAACTATTACGGATGGCCTCCTAGCACACCTTACAGATACATGTTTAGCACATACCCACACTTATCATCATGTCTTAAAAACAGTTGGCTGTTTTTACATGCCAGTTATCACAGCCTTTCAAAGTTTAGTGAACAAGTGCCTCATATCCACAATCACAGCAGATGCAAGGATAAATACCTTTAACTTCCTGTGTCCTACCTCCAGCTGTATTGTGCCATGGCAATCTAATCGATGTCCGTAGAGGAGCATTTCTCTGCCCATCTAAGTAACTCAAATCTTCCAATTTGGTTGAGCTTGTCGCTGTAATAGTAAACTGAGGTTTAGTCTCTTTACACTTTAATGCCACACCTGGCCTACAAGGGATAAATTACTAAAGCAATTCAGTTCAGGCTTTCAACAAATTCACTTAAAGGTAATTTTGATATTGCTTGCCCCAGTTCGTTTTCAAGCAACATTGCTAACTGAAGTGGTAAAGCCAAGTGCTCCTTATTCTTAAAGCAAAGTTATGTTAGTATGGTTGCCAGAATTCTCCATTATTCTGGAAAGAGACAGACTTTACCACACAGTAAAGCTTCAGTACTTACTGCAAGCACGTGGCATGGTACTAGAAATCTTCTCTGAAGCTGTGGGGAGCTTTCTGCTGTTTAAAATTCCAATCTTGTTAATTAAATGAGCAGATTCTGCATGCATAATTCCACTGCACCCAGAACACTAAAAGTCAGCTTTTAGCCATAGTAGTATAAACATGTTCCTAAACTTCAAATATATATATAGATTTATGTATATAAATGTTATACATTATATCTTATAGGTGCATATACATATTTTTTAAACTCTAAAAATAATCATGTTTACCTCTGCCCAAATCAGTAAGATTCAAGCATACAGGTACCCATTAAAAAGCACCAAGGACGTATTCAAACATACAAACAAGGTAGCTTATTATAAAAATAACTACTGCGAAATAATGTAGCTAATTCTCAGAAAATCTTAGAAGCAAATATACAGGACATATTTTTGCTTTAAATTAAAAAAAGAAACTCCTTTTATTTCACATATACATCCTAAGTCACAATGAGAAAAATGTAAATAAAAGTAACCTAACTTGGTCTATGAGTTAAGTGGCCCAACATGAAGTACTGCTGTCTTAGACATAAGATTATCTTCCAGGATGATAAAATATACATCTAATATGAGGGCAAAAGAAGAAGTTAGAGGGAGTCACATTGCAAGGGCGAAGGCTTCTCAGAACTGGTGACATCCTTATTGGGACCAAGCTGCAGGGGACAGAAGTCAAGTTGGGCCATCTGTCTCCTGAAAAACCCTCTGGCAACTCCATAGGCTCTAACCTAGCATCCAGCTGCCGACCAGCACCATCTGTCCTACCTGTGTCCTTCCTATTTTCCCTCCTAAGGTTTCAGTCCTTCTTTTCCTCACTACCAGTATCACCTCCTCTCATTCTATCATTCAACAAGCACCTGGGTGGCTCCGGGCCTGGTTCTGTGATGGCATACTCCCTCTTGCTGCATCCTCCAAAGGGCAATCCAATATGTGTCCTGTCTCCTCATATTTCCAGCCAGTGGAGAAATATTTGAAACCTTGACTTCGTGAAAGCATACGCCTATAATTCTGTAAGCTTTTGGTGCATATCCACAGCCTGTTTATATGCTTTGTACAACATGCAAATCTTTCCCATTAGAAAGATTCAGCTAATTCCTTATACAGAATTTCCAAATGGACCTAATATATGGTAATCCAATGGCAGCCTCTGGCTTCTCTCCAGGACCTTCGTAACCAGGGTGTGTGCAACTTCCTGTACGGCTGACAGGAATGTTCCTGTCTTCTCCCAACCCCAGGCTCCCATCCTCTTAAGCAACCTGCAGTAACATAGCTTGGAACATATTTCTGTGGGACTCCTCTCCTTGAATGCCTCATGGCAAATGCACCTGCCATGGCCCAGGCAGGAGGGGCATGCAGCCACAGCCATAACCAATAACTCATTTTAGCGCTGGAACATCATGCATGTCTGACATGCTGTTTCAACCCTAGAAAATACAAAGACACTTAGAGCCTCAGAAAGGTATCTCCCTTTTCCTCTGATGCCCTTAGAACATAACATGCAGTTTGTAACTTTGTGACAACTGAAAAGATTAAAAATCTGTGACCACAGGCCAGGAGCAGTGGCTCAGGCCTGTAATAATCCCAGCACTTTGGAAGGCCAAGATGAGAGAAACGCCTGACCCCAGAAGTTCAAGCCCAGCCTAGGCAATATGGTGAGACCTCACCTCTACAACAAATCAAAAAATTAGCTGGGTGTGGTGGTGCATGCCTATAGTCCCAGACACTTGGAAGGCTGAGGTGGAAGGATCATCTGAGCCCAGAAGGTTGGGGCTACAGTGGTCATGATCGTGCCACAGCACTCCAGCCTGGGCCACAGATGAGACTCCAACTTAAAAAAAAAAAAAAAAGTGACCATAAAGACATTCCAAATAAAGGTTTGTAAAAACATCCTAGTGTGATACAGATGCAGGAAAGATAGTAAGATTTCAAATGCCTCTGTTTTCAGATTCCAGTCACCAGAGCTTTAGCTCTGGAGTATGCAACAGAGCAGCCTCAGCAATCCCATGGCTCTCAGCTGATTCTCAATTTCAAACAAGATTAAACTGAGATGGATGTTACAGCAGAGCCACAAGCCACCAGATGCCAGCTGGCTCTGCTTCCTAAGGCATTTTCGAAGCCACTGATAAAGATACCAGCGAGTAGGAGAAGGGACACTTCAGTGGCTTAGCCATGTGCCCAAGTGTTCCCCACCCTCCTAGCCGGAGACCTGGGCCATTCTGCCTTCTCAGACATGCCTATAGTAGGTTCTCAGATATTACCTGTGCAAGAGTCAGACTCATGTTCAGCACTGAACCATAAACACTTTCAAACCTAAATGCTTTTAACACTGTTAAAATGAATGTAGTAATGTTTCCTAATTTTAAAATATCTTGATTAAATTGAAAAAAAAAGTAATAATTTCATGCTACAGTAAACCTACTGCTAACATCTCTACAATTAAATTAATTATATGCCTATCTCTCTCTCTCTCTCTCACACACACACACACATACACACACACACACACACAGTGTCTAACATCTGGGGCAAGAAGCACATATCAAGATGGGAAGAAAAGAGTTTTTAAGGGTGATGGTGGGGGCAGAGGAAGCCGTCTAAGCTGAACAAAGAGGAACATCTGCTAAAGTTGTGGACTAACCTATGAAAGGTAAATGCCAATAAGTCCAGGGCAATTACCAGTTAAGAGTTTCAAGACACTGGATGGTAATTGTACTTGCTGGTTTCCTGGAAAATTAAATACAGTGTTCTGTAATCCACTCACAAAGTATTTCAAATGGGGAAAAAGGGGCTTGAATAAAGGAAAAAGTGTCCATGTCACACATTTTGATGCGATATATGGCTTTTCAAACCAATCCCACTCCAACAAATACCTTGACAAAGAAAATCTCTGTGTAGTGAAATAACCTTGAAACGTAACCAGTTTATTTTCATAATCATTGACCAAAACAACAACAACACCTAGTCACTGTACTACACAGCTAACAGACAACTACAGTTCTTCATAGCAGACTCAGTGACAAGAAAGGTGGCAACTCTAGGAGCTAGTTCTGTGTCTCCAGGGGCCAGTACCATGAAGTGACTGTGAATAGAGGCCTGGTGTCACCCTTCACCTGCCAGTGCTCACTCTCTATGCACCTTTCCTACCAGTGACGTGTGTTTACATAGATCTTAACATGCAAATATTCCTAAGAGATTTCAGTGTATGGTCCTGCCAATCCTTCTAACATTGTGTGTTTCTTCTAACATTGCCTGCCTTCCTATTTGTAGCTGCTGCCTTCTAATCCCTAAACACTGCTACCTATAATCTATACAATCTGAATCTCACCCTTTTCTGGCACTTGAAAAGTCTTGACATTCCATCTTAACTGAAGTCCAGCTTTAGGGGCAGGAGGGTGGGCAATGAAGAATCTACCAGACGCCTAGCATGTTAACAGATACCATGAGGTACGGCATTTGCCTATTTCCTTTTAAAATATGCATCTAGTTTTTAAAATATGCAGCATAGAAGAACTGAGCAAGCCCATTAGGCCAGGTAGACTCTGCTCAAATACAGAGGTAAACCCCTCCCATTCCACATGAGGTCTAGCTCAAGGGCATACGTAGACACTAATGAACGAGCACAGCAGAAATCAGAAAGCTCTGCTCTATAATCATGGCAGTCTCCTGGAAAAACTCAGCTCACACACACTGTCACTTCACGTGGCAGGAGACCACATAAAAGAACATCAAGCAGAAAACATAACCCCAAATGGGATGCTTTTAACACTGTTAAAATGAATGTAGTAATGTCTCCTAATTTTAAAATATCTTGATTAAATTGAACTTAAGTTTGATATTTTGTTAAAGTCAATAAAGCTATCAAATTCTGGGATAATACCAGTGACCCATTCATCATAACTATGTGAATGTGGTCTCAAATGCTTCGGGTGCCACACGTTATGCTAAAGGTGGTGGGACAGTGGTGGGAGGACAGGAAGGCTTGTAGAAGAACCATCAGTCACCTCACATAATGTACTCCAGGACTGCTCTCTGGCAGACACGCCAAATCCCTCTTCTGGAACAAGGCCATTTCACTTCCTTTGAAAGTGAATTGGAGTTATGCCCCAGAACTTTTCCATTAGGGCCATTTATTTATCAGCTGCTCAGAGTCCATTGTAAAAAACACCCAACAACAACCAGAGTGACCCACCACATCCTGAAAGTGTAGTATAAATCACAGAAAAATCCTCTGAAGTAGGAAAGAGAATCTGGGTCTACACGTTAGCAGAAGAGAAATTTTAAGTGCTACAAAAAACGACCATAACAAGTTCTTCTGAATTCAGCCAAGAGCATAGAGTTTGGAAACTCAAGACCTTAAAAAAAGGCACCACAGCTCAGATGCAGAGTTCCTTTCCCCACCCATCCCAGACTATAGTAGTCTCTCGGTATCCACTGGGGATTAATTCTTGGACCTCCTTCCCCAAGGATACCAAAATCCACAGATGCTCAAGTCCCTTATATAAAATGGCATCATATTTATGTGTAACCTACACTCATGTCTCATATACCATAAATCATCTCTAGCTTACTTATAATACCTAATACAGCATAAATGTTATATAAATAGTTTTGTATTTTTTGTTGTTGTTGTATTGCTATTTCTTATTTTTTTCTTCTCAAGTGTTTTTGGTCCTCAGTTGGATGAATCCATGAATGCAGTACCCATGGACACAGAGGGTCACCCTTCCTTCACCTGCCAGTGCTCACTCTCCTTGACACCCACCCACTGACCTGTCCAACTGTCACCAATTCCCCACATTTGTGCTCTCTGCCCTTTTAGTTCCAGTAGCTGTGTCTTCCTATGGTGTGTCTGTCTCGCCTATTTTCATTTTCTTGATTGAGACCTCTTAATTAGGACGCTTATGAGTGCCATTACAACTGAATTATACAAAAATTTGACCTGTTTTCTGTATGATGGGACTCAATTACAAAAATAAGTTTGTAAGTTGGATTAGAAATTCTTTGAGCTGACTCAAACAAATTCATTCTTAAAAACAATTCCTGTTCACAAAAATGGAACAAAAATGAGTCTACTCAGGCTTAAAATAACAAAAACTTAGGGGAGAGTTTTTATACTTTCTTTCCTTACACACAAAGAGCCACACAGTCCGAATCACAGATTTAAAGAATTTCAGAACAGAAGGATCCCCTAAAGACCATTAAGTACAGCCTTATCATAAACTGAGGCCTAGAAAAGTTAAGTGTCTGACCCAACTTCACAAAGCTGGCTTATGCCTGAATTAGATTCCCATGTGCAGACGGTGAACACAGGGCACCTCGGTCTCCATAAGACAAAACTTCCAGGGAGGGGCATGGCCTTACCTGCAACTGAGTTGGGCCGTGGCATTATTAGCGAGCTGGAGCCCTGAGAATAAGGGACCGGACCATCTCCAGCTGAGGATTCCGCTTTGGGCAGCACAGTCTCCGCTGACCCAGTGGTCTCCTCTTCTGCCACTGGGGAGCAGTTGTCTGCCCTGCGATCATGAAGCACTCCCTTCTGAACCCCTAACCTTAGGCTTCCGTCTTTATTCCATTCCAAACTGGAGCCACTCCGGTCATCATTTTCGGATGAACTTGTAATTGTGGCTGAAATGAGAGACCAAGATACTTTGAAGGAGGCCAGGCATAGCTGGGGCTGTTGAGAGTTAAAACACACACACTGCCCTCCCCAGGATCAAAGGAAAGTTTTCCAGTCCACACAGATCTTTATCAAAGTATGTTTTATACGATGTATTTTGGTAAATTAGAAGAATGTTGCTTATCAGGGAAAATAAACTTCTAAATCACTCTACAGAGAAGGGGAGAAAAAACTCTTATAGGAAGATAATGAAAAGCTGTCTATAAAATATCTGAGAGTTAGAAGTAAATCTATGTAAAATTTGGAAATATCTTCTCTTTTTAACAAAGATGGATTACCCATAAAAAATTAATATCTCATTAAATTCCTTTGAACCTTTATATATACTTTCTAAATTAACATTAGTTGGGAGGGGGAGAGCAGGGAAGAGCAACACAATAGCTAATGCAGAAAAGACGCAGGAGAAAGTCTTTTGAAACAAAAACACAATTATAAAGTCAAGCAGAGAATTTGATCCTCAGAATTAAAGTTCATAGCATCTGTGCAAAATGATTCGGAAAGGCTGACTTGACTTATTCCTTTAGCAGCTTGGAAGAGAAAACCTTCATGCAGCCAGCAAAGGGAAAGTACCAGCATGGGAAGGTATGCTAAGAACGCAGAATTAAAATTTAACCTGTAAGAAAGAAAGCCAGCACAAGGGGGAAAAAATGGTATAAAAAAGCCTTTTGTAAATATCTTGGCAAAAGAACAGGATAAATATGATCAAAGAGGGAGAAACAACACTCATACCCTACATCACTTCTGCAAAGAGCCACTTTTAGTTTAAAGATGCTGAGCCCTGAGCTGTAAGCAATCCCCTTGCAACCACAGGGCACTAGGGCCCCTCACACTGCCCCACTGTTGACCTACCGCCGGGTTTGTCCTTGAGCACAGGGCCATGTCCGCGGATCCCTCTGTTCCCTGTTTGGACTCCAGTAGCCCAGGCCCTTAACTGCAAGCCTATTAAATGGGTGTGCTCCAGGGCCAAAGAATATGCAGAACTCAGCTGCCCGGACTAAACTGCTTTATCCACACACCATGAGGGTATACACTTTATAAGAAGACTAGTGAATTAGTTCAAGCAGAGTCAGTTATTTAGCATCAAAGGGCTTGTAGGGGTTTGGTTTTGTTTATTTTTACAATGCTCTTTAAAGTTTAGAAGTAAAGACAAAACAATTTCCTTGCCGTAACCGCAGGACATCCTGTCACAAATTCTAAGATTGTTTTTGCTCCTTTTGCTGCGGGAGCCTGGACATATCACCCTCTGGTCACCTCCCTATTTAAAAATCCCACCTACACGTTGACGCTTTCTTAGAGTATGTTTCCTTTTTTGTACAGCACAGGAGTGCTCAATAAATGTTTGCTTATTGATGAATCAGCAGATGAACAAACTTCTACTTGTGGTCAGAGACACCACACTTAACCTAACTTTTATCAGTTTGGGACCTGATTTGGGATGGGCTCTGTCACACCTTTTGGGTGCCCAGCACTTCCAAGTGTTCTATCAACAGTATTAAACCATACCTCTGCCTCTTTGGAATCAATCACAGCCTTCACTGTATTTTTAAGTGGACCTTTTATATGAGCCTAGGTACAGCAAGTATGACGCTTTTCATCTTAAAGTGCAGATGGTGGTTGGTGGTAAAAGTGGCAGCTAACATTTATTGAAGATTTCTATATGCTAGGGACTGTGCTAATACTCTATGGAAATGCTCTAATTTATTGGTAACTTTATTGCTTATTAATAGTAACCTGGCTAGTATGTTAAAAGTATAAAGCTACAGGCAGTCCTGTAACACAGACTGTGCTATAAACCTTCGTGTGTAAGTCCTGCAAATGCTTTTCTCAGGTATGTTGTTACTAAGTTAGCTTCCCAGAAGACCCCAGCATCTAAGTGAGAGGAAGAGCTCTACACTGGGGGTAGTTTGTTTGGTTTCATTATTATGGCTGCTTTATTTGGGAACACATATTTATAAGTCAAAAAATTAGCCAGAAAGTGCTCTCCCTAAGGCAAAAGCCACTTGCTCTCCCTAAGTGCCAAGAACCCCCAATGATCTGAGTCCTAATCAGGACCTCAAGCAGTGGGAACATGGAATTGGACTACCCCACCTCCTGTCACAAGTATTAGCACCGAAAGCAGGACCTTGGGGCCCCAGGAACCGCTGAGGAGAGCAGGGAAGGCCTGGCCAGAGCTTCTAGATGGCAGGACAGGCTGCAGGTATCATCCTCATTGCAGGGCAAGTGCCTCTACTGTGCCCAGGATATGACGGGAAGAAACATTCAGGTCCTGGCAGGAAGAGGAAGGAACATGGGTGGGAGAGGAAGGCCCCAGCTGCAGGAACAGTAGGTGGGAAGAGAAGTCCCAGATGGGGTAGCCATTTCAAAAGGGAAGTTTTACAAGGTCAGTGTTTATAAGTAGGAGACTTCAGTGACAAAGAAGATGCAGTTTTCCTGTTGCCCCTACAGAGTTCACGTGAGAGGCATTCCACCGTCCACACTCCCAGGGCTGTGAGAGGCAGGGAAGTGAGAAAGTCTGCAGCTATGGGCCTGCTCTAAAGATGTCTCACTCCACGAACACTCCTCCCTGGGACTGAATATCAGAGCTAGCCTGCACAGCTTGAAGCCCAGACCCTCTAATCATGGTTCAGCTTTGCCTAAGCCCTGAAGCGCATCTAGAGGGGCAGACCAAGGCCCAACAAGTCCAGTTTCCTTGCACAATCCAAGAACCACACCAAATAGGGCAGCTTCACGGTCTCTAAGAAGAGAAAGCTGCTTCCTCCAAGAAACGACAAGCTACTCAAAAATATCTATCTTCATGCCAGGCTAACAGAAATTCAAACTCCTAATTAGGTTAACCCAGCTACACTCAAGAATGCTTGTGCATACACACACACACAACCAGGACAACATCTTAACTGTGATGGCTTTTTTTTTTTAATTTTTAAAAAATAAGTGCTATTTGACATTTTCTGGAGATTGAATAATCTTTAAAGTTCCCTGACAACTAAAAAATTTGAACAGTTTATTCTTTCAGTTAGTATAGATAGTAGCTTTTGTCAACTAAAGCTTGCCATCATTGCCCAGGCTGGGTGTCAGTCCCCATTCCAACACAAAGAGTTCTGAAACATGACTTGGCGGGTCTTAAGTTTTATCAAGTGGTGAGGTTAGGCTGTGCCTCACAATTTAGTATTACATTAGGTTTGGTACTGCTCATTGATTTACCCGCATTACTTCTGACTCTCTGGTGTCTTGTCTTCCTCTGTTCTAGCACACAGGGCGAGAAAACTTCCAAAGCACTTTCTTAATACAAAGGGCACACACCTGGTTACCACAACCCATAAGTGGAGGTAGACAGGCTGAGAACCATCAATCCTACTTGTTAGATATGAAAGACTCCAGAGAAACTGATCTCTCTCACTCACACTCACACATACACAGACACACGGGGTTAGTGGTATATCTAATACCAATTCTTCTGACTATACAAACAGTGTATTTTTAAAACACCCATTGCTTGCACAGTGCTCCATGTAAAAGGAATTCTTTTAAGTATATGTAGCTAAAAAGGAGTTTGGCGTACATGTAGTCTGCCTTGTTAAAAAGTCATCCACTCAAAGGCACCAAATGTTTTGCTATGTAAGGTTCTGAAATAAAATGGTATTCTTTCTTCTCCTTCCCAACTTTTTTTCACCCCCTCTTCATCTTCGAAAGGTTCTTTCTATGCTGAATGTACACTTAAAATAGAATCAGCAAAAGAAAAACAAAATCAGTGTAAATCAAGGGTCCTGTAAGTAGTTTGATGAGATCCAAATCAAGTTATAGGCTTAAAAGAACATCAAGAAGAAAGACAAATTGATGACAGCAGTAGCCCAGAATTGTTCAGGAACTAAGGACCCATGATGTCAAATGTGTGCCACAAAAAGCAAAACTCTCTCTGTGCTATGGAGAAGACAAGAGGTGAAAAGTGCAAGGGGCTTGGGTATAAACTTGGCTTCTCTCCTTTTGAGGACCCACAAGGGCATATGTCTCTCCAGACTCAGTATCAGGAATGCATCCATTTTTCTCTCTGCAAACATTCTTTTGACTATGTTTCCCTCTTTTCACTGGTTATTAGGAAACTTTATTAAAGAGTAAAACTTTCTGCCCACTTATAAGAAAAACAAATAAAATCTTATGAACCTGACTCCTGACTGTATCTTTCCTCTTGATCTTATTTCCTTTCCTCAACTGATGCCTTCATTGAAAAAGAGCATTCACTGGGAAGGAGTATCAAATCTTCAAGAAATAACAACAGTGGCTAAGATGAATATTATAACAACACTTACTATGTGCTAGGCTCTGTTCGTATCTCAACTCTCCTATTTCAACTCACTGAATCTTCAACAGCCTATTGACAGGAAAGCCCCAGAACACCTCAAGTCCTGCCTATTCCAGAATGGTGTTCTACACTTTCTGATCATGCCGCACCATGCATAGAAAACTTGGGGCATGTAACTCAAACACACACATTTCTCGATGATGTACATAAAATACTCTATTATAGTATAGAACACAAAAACACAAGTTTTGAAAGGATAAAAAAAATCAGAAATTGAAGTTTTCATCAAGTACTCCATAGACTGTCTTGTATCCCCCATTTTCAAAACAAAGGTTCTTTAAAGACAACCATTTGTCCTTCCCTGGGTTGTGGAGAAAATCAGATACAAGGGCATATGTAAAGTGCCTCATATATCATGAATACTCGAGAACGTTTTCCTCCACATACAATTGAAGAGAAATAAAGTAGCACTTCAAAACAAACATTTTTTAACCTCTATGTTCAGTTTAATGGTTGACAGGAAGAACTTAAAACGCTGGGCCAATGAATTAAAGATCAAACAAGAAAGAAACATAATGACTGCTTTAAAAGTAGAAGGGAAGAGAATAAAAAAGGAAAACCCAACCACTGTATAGACTGCCTCCTGTGACG